AAATTGAAAACAGGGTTTAAACAAATTTATTTTTTGATAAACAGAGCTTTTACTGGGTGTGAGCGAGGGGAATTAATGTGAGCGAGGGGAACTACAGAGTGAGAGAGGGGAACTACTAAGTGACTTTAACCCAGAGGTTAAATTGTTACATAGGGTAGTAAATTTTATAAAACGAAAATAAATTATCTTTTGATTTTGGAAAGTAATCATGACAACAAATCTCTCTAAATAAGTTATTTGGTCACAAAACATTCTCTTCGCTCACGTTTTTCTCTCCGATCACGTGAGTGAGTATTTTAAACCTAGTATTTATCAAAAAACCCAGAGGTTAAACTGTTACAGAGTAAATTTTATAAAACGAAAATAAATTATCTTTTGATTTTGGAAAGTAATCATGACAACAAATCTCTCTAAATAAGTTATTTGGTCACGAAACATTCTCTTCGCTCACGTTTTTCCCTCCGATCTAGTGAGTGAGTGATTTAAACATAGTATTTATCAAAAAACCGAGAGGTTAAATTGTTACAGAGTAAATTTTATAAAACGAAAATAAATTATCTTTTGATTTTGGAAAGTAATCATGACAACAAATCTCTCTAAAGAAGTTATTTGGTCACGAAACATTCTCTTCGCTCACGTTTTTCTCTCCGATCAAGGTTGGTGCGTAAGCTCCGGCCGACACCATGGGTCCCTGGTTGAGTTATAGGTACCGGGTAGCCGTCGGGGTGTCTTGGCTCCTTTGACAAAAAAACGAACATGAACATGAACATGGGAGTACTTAATTAAGTTAACTCAGTACATCCACAACACAACACAAGTGACAAAACATTTGAGTAGTACAGTAGAACCTCAATTACTCGAACCTCAATATCTCGAATTCCTCAATATCTCGATTTTTATTAAATCCCCTTGAAATCCACATTAATCATAATGTTAAAAGTACCTTTATAAGTCGAAGTTTCTAAATATTTAACCTCAATAAGTCGAATTTGAACAACTTTTGAGCAGTAACATTCTACCTCTATAACTCGAATTTTCCTGTCATCGAGCCTCAGTAACTCGAAGTTTACCTTTATAAGTCGAAGTTCGCATGAATGTGCCTCAATAATTCGAAGTTTTGCCTTAACAGTGCAAGTCAGTTGTGTCTTGATTCCTGTCGAGACGTGAAAATCCAACTTCCTGTGTTTGCTTCCCGTGTCTGTTTGGCTAGGCACTGATGTAGTCACTAGTCAGTGTAGTTTGCCCGTTTTGCCAAAGTAGATTCAGTAAATAACTACATTACGATGCATTTTGTTTAGTATTTCAATCACACTAGAATTTTCCCTTTAAATATTACTCTCTACAGTCTAAATACTTTTGTATGTACAGTATTGTACCTATTCAGTATTTTTGTTGCTACAGTACCTTGTTTTTACAGTACATATAAAGAGTATGACTAACGTTTGCTTTAAACAAACATTATACACAGTAAATGTAGTTCCGTGTATGGATGATATATACTGTATTATTGTTTTGTACAATATTTAAACTACTTTTTTTGTCATTTAACATGTTTTTTATGTACTTTATCAAACTTATTGCCAACTAATAAATACAGTACTTTATGTGTATTCAAATAGTTTTATTTTGCTTCCAAAGTTACTCCTCAGTACGTATAAATACAGTTAGAGTTCGATTATAAAGGCTTAACACGTATAAGTCGAGTTATAAAGGCCGTGACGTAACATCACTGTCAGACCCCAACACCTCAGTATCTCGAACTTTTTCAAATGGAACCTTCATAACTCGAACCTCACTAACTTGAAAAACTTGATAACTCGAATTTTTATCATAACCCCTTCAGATTCGAGATATTGAGGTCCTACTGTACCGTACTTCCATTTATTTCTACCGTAGTCCTATTTTATTTTACATTACCTATATGTTAAAAAAATTAAAGCCTGGATGGATAAAAATAAGTTTAGCCTATAAACCTACAAGATTATATAGAAATATTTCAATCTTTCGGCTAGCTTTTTTTACATTGTAGCCTGGGGATCATAATACATAGCCTAGATTAAAAGAACATATTAAGTCACCATATTAAGGTATAAGAACATATTAACTAACAACTAACAACTAACAACAAGCTAACAACTAACAATGATTTTCAATACATTTAGCTTCAAAAGTATAGGCCTAGGATAGAATAGGGCTAGTGATTAACTCATATTATAAATAGATTTTGGGTGTGTCCCATTTCTACGTAGGCCTTATGTTAGTTAAGATAGGCAATAAAAAATATGTTCATATGTTAACCACGGCTTTAATAAGAATAAGACTACTTCAAGGTTGTGCCTTTGAAAATTGAGCTTGAACTGTGCAGCGAGTATGTCAAATTGATATCATAATCATTCTGATTTTGCTCATTTATTATCAAAAGTTTTTTTACTAGCTAATTTATTATGATCAGATAAGGTAGGTTATCAAACATGACCTGCCTTGGTTGAGTCTGGTTCAACAGTGGCATAACGGTAGGGCTATAACAACAACAGTCCGTTCCAACTTGGAACTTAGCCAACAAAAACAAATTCTAGGAGTATTTTCAATAATGAGGATTCTAAAAAAAAATGTAATCTCTGATTTTGCTAAAAACTTCCTTCGGAATACCAATTAGGAACCAACATTTGTAAACTCTGGCTTTTAAAATTGTTTTCTTGTCTAGATGTGAAGATGTAACTCGAAGATAAACAAACTTTCCAAAATCTATTTAGGAACAGTTTCTTGAAAACTTTCTGTAGAAAAGTGCTCGAGTATAGCTTCGACTTAAGACAGCGAACAGTTTGTTTACTATAATAAACTGTAGTAATAAACTGTAAACTACTTTTTACTGACAGGATTTACAACTATGCGAGTAATCCCTATTTCATAGGAGTAATACCTCGAATGCAAAGTTCCTCATAAACCTCATGGGGACTCCCTAATGTACCTACTCTTCTATTTGGAAAGTTTATTTTTAAATTTAAATCACAAAAGGGTCTAAAACATCCTTTTTAACCGACTTCCCCACTACCAACCAAAGGAGGAGGTTCTCAATTTGTTTGTGGCGATGTTTTTTTTTTTCTATGTATGTTCACCAATTTCTCTGTGATTCTTTTACCGATCAGTGTGGTTCCACCACCAAAATAACCAGGAGAGTTCCTATTTGGTACCTTATATATTATGTTTAAGTATAATATTTGTTTCGGTGAAAAATTCTGAAAACCTTAAATACTCAACATTTATTTTGTTTACATTTGTGCAGATTGTTTACATTTGTGCAGAGAAGGCAATAAATAATAATAACATTCCTACAGCTGTTAGTTGAAACCATTTAAATGAAGCTACAGACAATTCTTCATGAAACAGTTGCTTCATATTGATCAATAAACTATTTCTTGCCATGGAGCCTAAATGAATTACATTGAGAAAAATGCATTTTGTGTTGGTTACTATAAAAAATGTATTTTAACGTTTGACCTGATTTGTGTATACAGTAATTCTGTTTTTAGTATTGAATATTCTGACTTACAAAAACTTATATGTTTCAGTGAATAGCTGTATGATATTGACAAATAAAGGTGTATTGTGAAAACCAAAGCATTCGTAAAACAGGTCTAAATATAAATCAAATGCAATTATTCCTTACACGACCTAAGACGTGTGACAGTGCATAATCGTCAATTGTCTTAAAAGTGTTAAATATTTTAATTACTAAACATGCATTTGCAGATGTGGAATGTTTATTGATATTCTCTACCCAGTTACTATATCATATCAATACTATTATGCCTGCTTCGGAAAGTCCTAGAGAAAGATGATTTGCAATTTCGACTAGCCTATATCTTGAGCAAACAAAACCCCCTACATGACTTACACCACTTTTAGCTGAACCAATCTTTCATATAATATTTTCCAAAGGTACTATACGTGTTAACGACCAATTTTCCACTTTTGCGAGATTTTTTAGTGCTGGTAGCTGAGGAATAACTTTCATATTGTTCCAAAAGGCTTGAGACGTTCAGTCACTAAAAATCATGAAATAATTTATTTTTGTAAAAAAATACAACCGACTTCAAACGCTCTAAAAAGAATGAAATAATTTCAATAAAGTAAACTTTTGTATTACGCAAGCTCACGTATTTCAAGTCGGCGCGGCTCAAACTGCAAATATGATTGAAATTAAATACTGTGTGTGTATTTTGAAAATCAATAAATTGTAGCTGGATAACTTAAATATATAAAAAACATACTGAACTGTTTTGTTTATATATTAAAGGAAATATTTTCTTGTATTTTATGTTTACTTCAGAATAAATGCATTATGAAAATAACACACACAAATGTTCTATATAAATAGGAAAATAATTTAGTTTGATATTATGATAGGGAAAAGAAGCTAGTTTAGTATTAAAACGTTACTTTTCCAAGTTAGAAACATTTAAATGTGTTATAATCTTTTTAAAGATACTCGTTAATACCACTATAATTCTGATCTCTGATTACGGCAATAAAATAACACTTAACGTATTGCTATGAAAAAGACATGCAGATTAACACCTTGATAGTCACCTGCAATATGGACACCCTCTTTCAATTTTGTATCAAAAATCATCATAGAGCCGCGCTGACTTAAAATACGTGAGCTTGCGTAATACAAAAGTTTACTTTATTGAAATTATTTCATTCTTTTTAGAGCGTTTGAAGTCGGTTGTATTTTTTTACAAAAATAAATTATTAAAACAACATCAGTTATAATTCCTAGGATAAAAAATCTTATGAATCCATCAAACTTTTGTATCATAGAAGAAAATCCAACCTTAGTCTCAATATTGCAAATATACGTTTCATTCAAAATATTTAAACGGCAAACCTGGATCACCATCGTGACCATTTTGGAAATATAGGCAGAATCATTATAGGCATAGGCCTAATTGAAACCTTTGGGAATAAAGGCTTTAACCAAATACTTGTTTGTTTAGGGGCGTCTTGATGAATACAGGGAGAAACAAAAAAATGGAATCACACTGGAACCCGATCAGAAGCAGGCTATCCTGAAGTATGACGAGACCTGTCAGAACTTAACCTTTGCACAAGAACTAAGCAAGCAGCTAAACGGGATTTCAGTGGAGGCGGAAAAGGCTAGAAAGATCAAGGAGAAGAAGGAAGCTTATGAACGGGAGAAGCAGGAAGTGTCTAAGGTCAAGGAAATTCTTATCATTCAGGTGAGTGAATAATTTGATAATTTACAGATTTTCGACATAAAACTTGTGCTTCTAGGCTAAGGCTACGATTTTATTAATTTAATTAAATATTCAAAATACCTTAACAAAATTTAGACAGTTGTAGGGAAAGAAATCAATCCCCTCCATTTGATCCTACCTTTAAAACAATAACTCAACAGCTGAAGTTTGCCAAAACGTTACCAGCAGCAACAAATGCATTAAGCCAAATAAGTAGTGGGGAAACTTGCCCTCTCAAATCGCCGAGATATTGTGAACGGACTTTTTAGCCCTGGTGGCTAGGGCAAAGTCCAGCACCGTTCCCCTCGCCCTCATCTACTACTACGCTTATGGTGGAGAGAGACCCTTGTGCTCTGTGCGAAAGAAATTTCTGCATATTGCATCCCGCTCAGGCTCTTCCTTGCTTGTCACAAGTATATTTCCGGCACAACATATTTGAATGTAAGTTCACAGCTGTGAGCTGTCCCTTGATTGAGTTTACTCTGTACTTAGGCATCGTGCTGATAGAGGGGAGCAAGCTGGTAAGCTGGTGTTGTGTAGTGGTTAGACCACAGGACTTCGGTCCATGAGGTCCCAGGTTCACATCCCGCCAAATCACCAATGGATTTTATCCAAGTGATAATTAAGTCGTGAAGCTTTCCCTCGAACACAAAGGTTTCCTGACAGCCAACGTTCACATTTCTTAAAGTTTCTTAGGGTGGGGGAAGGGAAAATTGCTGGGTGCGAAGGCGATTCACGTCTTCAACAATAATGAACAACTCGTTCAGAACACAACTTACTATTCAGTAGGGGTGTGCGAGTACTCGAACCTTCGAGCTTTTTGGTCGAGCTTTTCATTATTCATCTCGGCTCGAGGCATTTTGAAAAAGCTCGAAGTTCGAGCCGAGCTTTTAATACTAAGTCAAAACAAAAAAAAACACTTAATTTGGGTCGTAATTGGAAACAATGTTATCACAATTCTACGTTGTTCAATCATTCGAGGTTTGATAAGCACGAACCTCAGCTCAGTCAAGACGCAATGATTATCGATCGTAATTTTGAGGAGATAGTAAAGAGACAAACTACCACCTATCGCGTTGTCTTTCTAACACAGCTATTCGTATCGTAATATACAACGCAGTGCGAGTGCGTGATTGGCTCGTCGCTATGACGACACACGGTTGCCGTGACAACCTACAGTGCGCACTGAGCACTGCGCCTTGTGTGGGAGGGGAGATTATACCAACAAACAATTTCAGGAATTCTATTTTGGAACGGATGAAAGATAAGGAAGAAACAAAAAGTGGTCACGTGTGCAAATGTAGTGGGCGACACAATAAGGCTGTAAACAAGTATCAATCGTCGTGTCTCGTGTCGTTGTTCCTTGTTTGTTTACTTTTTCAGATTCCTTATCAAACGCCCCTATCTGCTATCTCTCTTTCTCTCTCTGCTCTCTCTAACAATGTACTGATTAAACAGATTGTGGTTGACGACTTTTCTACTTATAAGTTTCCCTGCGGTTATTTTAGTTCAATCAATCCCATAACCTTTCTAATGTTTATCAAAATAATTAATTATCTGTTTTGTATTTTATTTCCTTTAAACCAACCCCTATTTACCATCTGTATTTTATAGAATAAAATGTTTGTTTATAAAGTTTGACTGGCCACACAATGTTGTACCTATTTTATTTTGTATAAAGTAACAGTTACTTTGATGATTATTTAAATATCAATAAGTGGTGCGTGCTGTAATGAATGCTTTTTATTATCAAAATAAGTAATGGATTATTAATTTTTGATAATACATGGGTCATTGAATACCATAATGTGATGTAGTTTCCTATTTGTAACTTGCAAATAATAATAATTGAGAGTTAATCCTGGAAAATGAAAAATAGTGAATGCATTCATAACCCTGTTGTCAAAACAGCAATGCAGGTGTAAGGGTTTATTGTTTCAGAGGCTAGGGTGTTTCAAGGACAAAGTGCTGGGCCTCCCGGCTCAGGGGGGGGGAGGAAGGTGGTGAGACTGAGAGAGAAATGGGGGAGGAAACTGGTTTTGGCTATTTATTGATTAGTTCACCGACCCTTCTAGATAACAGAATTTAGTGACAGTGTTAAATCATCGTGTTCATTATTTCATTTCTTGTTTACTTTGTGTGTTATTCTATTAATTTTAGTGTTTTGGTCTATTTCCTCTATATGTCAATTATATATTTTTTAATATATAATTTTTACTTTTTACTTTGTCTCTTCACTTTTTTGGATCCAAACCAATCATGTTCTTTTTGATTAATACGATTCATAAAACAAAAATATTTTGTGCATGGAAAACAACAAGAATAATCACGTGTTTTTATATTTATTTATTTATACAAAATGAAATAAAATATTCATAGTAGTTACAATATACATATTTAATCGACTTGCTAGTTGTTTTGTTGTCATTCAAGATAGCGCTGTTCTGTTATGAAAGACAATCTGATTGGCTCAGTCTGCACTGCATATCTCGTCAGGCATTCAATCATATCCATTTATTTCTTGCATCTTAATTTAGTTCAGTTCAGTTTTTATCGTGATTATCTACTATTTGATGTCTTGACAATTCTCAATGTTTTTAGACATATTAAAATAATATTGTGTTTATTTAAAAATTGACTGAACATTATTATTATTATGCACTTTTTGAAGAAAAATGTTTAATAATTTATTTTTTTGATAATGTTCAGAATTCAGAATTATATTTGAAATTCCAGATAGGTTTAGTTGCAAAACATTTTTTGCTGAAAATAAAATCATAACACTCTCTAATATTTTCATTTTTTACAATTTAGTTTCCGTTTAATCTGTTTTATTTAGAATCTGAATAAATTTGTTCCTTGCAACTCAATCCATGGGTATATCACCAGACAATCAAAAGATTTATATATTCCTCAAGCCAGGCTATCAAAATTTATCAAAAGTTATAAATACTTGCAAATAAAACTATTTAATAAACTTCCAATATATTTTAGAAATCAGGAAAGTATTCATTTGTATAGGTCAAAATTATCAGATTGGCTTACAAGTCGTGCTTTTTATTCAGTTGATGAGTTTTTGCAGAATGAAGATTTTTTAACGCTTAAATGTGAGGCCAAGCAGTCTTGATGATTCTTTGTTCTTGTTATGGTCTTTTCCCTGTTAATTTTAAAGTTTTTATTATTACTGATGCTTTATCCTTTTAACTTTATTTTAACATTTTCTGTAGAATATTTAATATTTTATTTAACATATGTAACAAAACATGTTGACCTTGTCTATTGTAATGTTTATATTACCAAACGACAATAAAGATTTATTATTATTATAAGGTGACGCTAGGAAAAGCTCGGCTCGAAAAAGCTCGAGCTCGAAAATATTTTAAAAAGCTCGGCTCGAGGTTGAAAATCACTATTCGCACACCCCTACTATTCAGTACCTATGTGGATTGCTTTAGCTAACTTATTAGTTCCACAGAGAAGTTTGGTACAGAAACTTGATTTTGGGACGACCGTTCGCTTTCAGCTTTCGTAGCTATTCATATGGCACAGGTCACAGGGGTCTCCTTCCAGTGGCGGTTCTAGGACCTGGTCAAGGGGGGGGGGGTAATTGGACATCCACACCAGAAGAATGTCCCCCCCCCCAAAAAATTCATATTTTTAAAGCTGTGTCCAAAACCCTTCTTTACGTTTATATGACAAAATGTATGTTTAAATTGATATTTCCAGAGTCCCATGGAAGGAGGGTGCCACCCGTCCCGATTCTGCCGGGATAGTCCCCGAGTTGTAGTATATGATGGAGAGGGGGGTGGTATTGGATTTTTTTGCTCCTTTGTAACCACCACTGTATTCCTCCACCGTGAGAGTTGTAGTATATGATGGAGAGGGGGGCGGTATTGGATTTTTTTGCTCCTTTGTAACCACCACTGTATTCCTCCACCGTGAGAGTTGTAGTATATGATGGAGAGGGGGGCGGTATTGGATTTTTTTGCTCCTTTGTAACCACCACTGTATTCCTCCACCGTGAGAGTTGTAGTATATGATGGAGAGGGGGGCGGTATTGGATTTTTTTGCTCCTTTGTAACCACCACTGTATTCCTCCACCGTGAGAGTTGTAGTATATGATGGAGAGGGGGGCGGTATTGGATTTTTTTGCTCCTTTGTAACCACCACTGTATTCCTCCACCGTGAGAGTTGTAGTATATGATGGAGAGGGGGGCGGTATTGGATTTTTTTGCTCCTTTGTAACCACCACTGTATTCCTCCACCGTGAGAGTTGTAGTATATGATGGAGAGGGGGGTGGTATTGGATTTTTTTGCTCCTTTGTAACCACCACTGTATTCCTCCACCGTGAGAGTTGTAGTATATGATGGAGAGGGGGGCGGTATTGGATTTTTTTGCTCCTTTGTAACCACCACTGTATTCCTCCACCGTGAGAGTTGTAGTATATGATGGAGAGGGGGGCGGTATTGGATTTTTTTGGGAAGCGAGCTGTTCTATTGGTTAGTACGGGACTTTGGTCCCTGAGGTTCCTGGTTCAAATCGCACCAAATCACCAATGGATTTTATCTAAAGTGATAATGCCGCAACCCCTAGGTCTAGCTGAAGTAATGTGAAAAACAATCCCGGGCTTGTGCCTAGCGTCCTAGAAAAAATAAATAAAAAGAAAGGTCCCCGTGCTGTGGAGTAAAGAGGTGCAGGCATTACTAAGTACTGACCTTGAACAATGAAAATTGTAAATTGTAAATTGTTTTGGAAATAATTATATTTTACTGTGTTATATTTTTTTCAGGATGTGTTGGCTAGTATGGGAACTGAGAGTGTGCGGGCAGATTTCCTTGCCGGACAGAACAAGGCGGTTCAACTCACAGAAGCAGAGCTGCAATACTTGGACGATCTGTTTGTTGAAGTTTCTCCCAAACGCGAGATTGAGGAGGGACAACCACCGTTCTTGGTAAAATATGACTAAATAGGCTATAATCTTTTTTAGGTATTTGTTTGTAGCTTGATATAGGTAGCTTATTTTAAAATTTTTATTGCCACAGTTTTAAAGTAATTTGTATCCCATTCTAGACACAGAACCTTTTTACAGTGTTAAGGAAATTTTGAAACCAACTTAGTTACAAGTTTAGTACCAATAGAATGATAGGACCTATGACCTAATATCCTTTTGTTTCATTTAAGTATGTTACCTGTATTATAAATATCTGAGATTTTATCTGTTGGGCCTGTATTGTTATTATGTGTTCTCAAACTTTTCATTGATTTTGTTCTCTATATTTAACTGTTTTTATCTGTTGACTTTCAGTGATATTATTTGATTAAGTAAACTTAACTAGGCACTAGGCCTAATTCATTTGATAGGCATACTAGTAGTATTGGTTAGTTTTAGACAAAGAAGAAAGATATTGGTATCCACAGATTTTTCTAACAAACTATTGTATATTTTTTACATTGACATTAGCTTTTACATTTTTGTAATGTTTTTGGCATTAAATCTATTCTATTCTATTCTTGGACGAGCCTACACATTATCAGGCATGGTGGTCTGCTGACAGACCAAGATTGTTAAAACTCAAGTCTAATTGAAAGAGGGAGATTTTAGTTTGGTTCAATAATAGTTAAATCTTGTTCTCTTTTTTAGGAACAGACATTGAACGCAGCTAAGCATCTGATAAACATTGTCGAAGGGAAGGATAAAGAAATCGTGGGTACTAAATACTCCGTCCTTAAGGAGCTGATTGAGAAAATCAGCAACTGTGGATATTTCGACCAGACAACTGTTGAAGAGACTACCCCCCAGGTAAATAGTTGCAATCTTTTATTAATGCTACAGTAGACTCCTGATTATCCACGAATGAACTAACCACACTGCGAATAAACCACAATAAAAAACAAAAAAAAGTCAAAATCATAATTATTATATTTAATTAGGGATGGTCAAGTCTCGACATTTCGGGAAATTTTCAATCTCGTTACACGAGACGAGATTACTTTTTGGCCGAGATTTTTATCGAGACGAGAATAAAAAAAAAAAAAAAAAAAAAAAAAAATTAAAAACGCCTGCAGAAAGTCAATGCAATACCCGCAATACAGGAGCGTGTTGTAGTTGCGTTTCCTTTTCGAAGGCGTTCTTATTTAATTAATTCTTTTAATGTAAATATTACTTTCATTATTTTAATAATATTACTTTAATAACATTTGAGAAGTTTTGTTAAGTGTAAGCAGTGTGAGGAATGTTTTATTACTATAAAAAAAGTCAAAACAAGTAACTATTTTATAAAAATTAATATTGCTTTTATTTTATGATTTATTTTATTTTAGGATAAGTTGAACTCTATCCTAACTGATATCACCATGTTTCCTAATCGTAGGCATTTTTAATAAGTTAGGCGTGTTTAATAAAAAAATGTTATGCTGATGTTATTTAATGAAAGATTGTAAATATTCTTGCCTATTATCATTATTTTAGTATTTAAACAGTCATCTAACAATGTTACAAAATCAGGTAAAAATTTCGAACGTGCATTTCCCGTTGTGTATGAGAAGAGAAATCTCGTCTCGATCTCGTCTCAAAATTTTATGAGAAATAAAAAATCTCGTCTCGTCTCGTCTCGAACTAAAAATCCAATCTCGTCCATCCCTATATTTAATGCATGTTAAATAGTGTACAACACCCAAGATATTTAACGTGAGGAGGCCCATTTTCTCGCAAAAAGCTACCTTTGTTTAAATTACTTTATCGACCACCGATTACAACCAGATGAGTTAATAGATCTTACGGATCGTGTGCGTTTTAATTTTTGCCATTACTGGGCTTCCAGTATATTATAATATGTATTTAAAACGTTTTATTATCACCTAAAGACACTATCAATCTTTTCCCCGATCAAGACTCCGAACTGAGAAGGGAGAAGGAAGGTAAATATAAGCAAAATTTCAATCCGAACATCTCCCCGAACAAGACCAAGACCAGACAAGTTCTACCGAGCGCTGCAAAAGGGAGTTTAGAATGCCCATAATATATAACAGCACAATATTACCCAAAATGTATTTATTTTACCAATTAAAGAGTTTAATTGCTATATTAAATTAGAACTATCAACTAACTAGAACTATCAGGTGGCCGCTCTGTGCGGCGCTCGCGACAAAGTACAGGGCAAAAATATACCGTGACACTATCGTACATCACTCTGTACATCGGACCGATCTTTCTTTCATCTTTTGCTAAAAAAACCGCCCCCCAGGGCGCTCGTCTCCCTGCTAGGCCTGATGTCTGGTTCGCCGTCTGGATCGGTGTACGGACCCCTGACACACTATCGAACATGCTCCTTTTGACCTCCCTTCTCCCTGCTCCCTGCTCGGTTCAGGGAAAAGATCGTTAGTGTGTCCCTGTCTTAAACACAAATGAAACCTTTGTTTGGTGTCACCTGTCTATTAAATCAATAAAGCAATTCATTTTGGCCAGTGGAAAATGTGAGACTTAAAACATAGTTATGTCCACAGCCCGTTGAAGCTCCTGTGCCAGAACAGGTTCCAGTTGTGGAACATGCCACTCCTGTTCCTCATGTGGAGGAGATCGTTCCGGAACCTGTTCCATCTGCAACCTTCCAGCCCAGTGAGTTTAATTTATTTCATTTCTATTTACCATTTCTTAATTGGTAATTTCTTAGGTTTTGTCACTTCAAATCATAAACAGTTTTAAGGTGGATTCCAATTTAGTATATTCAAAGTTCTTAACCTTATTAACAATCCTAGCATAGAGCGCTTAGTAAAAAACTACCCTAGTTACCTTGCTTTGCAATGGGGTGAGAGCTCAGAAGAAAATTAGGCCTAGCAGTTATAAAAAAATATTGGTTATACAACCTTCATTATTTATTAAAATATAAAAATCCACTTTTCAGCACAAGTCTGCCCCGTGATTATTGTAGGTTAGGTTTATATTGGTTAACCATTGCCTATTACTGATTCATCTCTCCTACAGATTTGTTGTCTAGGTTTTAAATGACGAATAATTTCTTTCAATAAAGTATACTAGGTCAGAGAGTAGAGAAATTGAAATGGTTCACAATTGTTACCAAAAAATGTAATCTTATATATTAAAAAATTTGGTGTTTCTTTTCCGAGTTCGTTTGGCTCTACTACCCCACCGATTTTCATGATTGAGGTCTCAAATTGAAGGTATGCACGCAAAGATTTGCCATCAAGCATCGGCTTATAATTTTCTATAGTCTCACTTGGTTTATACGTAAACGAAAAAATTTGCTCTCCATGTATTTCTTATGGAGTTAAATTTGGTTTCTCTTTGCCGAGTTCATTTAGCTCTTCTACCCGACCGATTTTCAGATTGAGGTCTCTATAGATAAATGCCGATGCCTGATGGCAAATCTGTGTATGAACACACAGATTTGCCATCAATCATCGGCATATATTTATCTATAATCCCACTCGGCTTATACGTAAACGAAATTTGCTCTTTATGTATTTCTTATGGGAGTTAAATTTATCTTCACTTTTCCGAGAACGTTTGGCTCTTCTACCCGACCGATTTTCATGATTGAGGTCTCAAATTGAAGGCATGCGCGCAAAGATGTACACATCAAGCATCTGCATAGTTTTGATTCATTTTTAAATTTAAGATTACTTCAATTTAAGATGTATTTCACCAGTTATAATTATATAATCCTATATATTTTGGTCTAGGAACCTTCAGTGAAATACCGGCTTTCTTTTAAGCTGTTAGTTATTCTAATCGGAGAGATTGTAACTCTTGTCTAGGTGCAGTGCCCGTGGTGGAGCCAGTGGTCGCCCCCGTAGTGGAGACTGCGGGACTCTACATCTCCCAGCGCCCAATGGCCGATGTTTTGACTAATGTCATGGGCGGCGGACCCACCACATTTAACTTTATTCAGGTAAGTTGTCATGATGCTAATGGCTGTGGCTTTAAAAATATTCCCTATTTAAATTTTTCCTACTTGGCAAGGAGGGTTTAGGGGTGCGGCTGGTCTTGGGCATTGGAGACTGTACTTCTCCCTCTTAGAGTTGATTGTATGTAATTAATTGATTGATAATTTAAACCTGTGGGAAATTTTTAATTTTTGTATTATGACTTTTTTACCATATGAAATCTATAATTGCTTAGTAAAATGAAACCACTAGATTTTATAGTAAATTCTTTGGCTTTCCTAACCAACATCACCTCGTCTATAAAGTCTCCGGTAAATACCTATTGCAAGATACAAGATCAAAAACTGATAAGAATTAAAGGTGGGCGTTTTTTAACACAATAAGATATTAATACTATTACGTAAGTGTCATCTAATAAAAAAATACCTAGGTAGTATTTTACGGAGAATAACTTATTATTTTTGGATACATAATCTGAACTTTTTGAACAAGCAAGTGAAACAATCCTGCTAGTTCTTCCTGTTACCATTACGAAATAGTAAAGTATCTTGGTAATAGATTTTACTGTGAATACCCTATTATTTTTTATCGTCGTCTGAACTATTAAAAACGATTGTATTAATAATGTTCATCATATCTTACTATTAACAGGGAGTATCTAAAAAATAGTCTTGTTTGAGGAACTACTGATCAAGAGAATAAAAATAGGAAGTTAAATTGCCCTGCACTAGAACAACAAGTAATAAGTGACAATGTACGAAATGTACTGGATAAGGAATTAATAGGTGACAAAATAATAGTATTATTTCACCGTTCCTGACTATTATTGCAAATTAACGGTATCTCAAATAAAGAATCCTTTTGTGTAGGAATCAGAGCTGGAGCCTGAGGTCGCAGTTGTGCCGACAAGTGCTCTGCCCATTCCTACACAGACCTTCACAAATGCCAACTTTGCGCCGCCGGTAGCGGCTCCAGTCTACCCACCCGAGGTGTTGTACGCCGCACCCGCAGCCGCACCCACACCCGCGCAGTACAGCCCCATACCGCCACAGCCAGCCCCAGCCCCTGTACCCAGCAACACTTACCAGAACACGGTAAGTGTTGGAGATTTATCACCCTCTAGTTCTGTTTTTGTACGTGAACATTGCTGGTTTTGTGGTTAGATCATGGGACTATCATTCGTTCTGGACACCGAAGTTTGATCTACTGTGCATATGAAAGTTTTCCCCCCATAGTTCTGACATGTCTTTGTAATGGATGGGCTGGGTTTTTGCTTCTGTCAAGCTATTATCTACATAATGTGTTTTTGAGAAAACATAATTTCTGTTCTTCATGTGGGAATAGGTGGATAACATCAAAAGATGGATTCAGTAAAACCTCTCACCCTGGCCTTGGTTTATCCAGCCACCTCTCGGAAGCCAACTTAGAAATGTATTTTCCACGGATTAGGACACAGTCTCTATGCTGCTTTTACTGATTGTATTATTTCTTATATGGATATGGTTGTTTAGAATTGGTTATAAACAGGGTGACAATTTGTAAATTGTAAATGGTGACCTAGAACTGGGAAACCTTGCTGCAGTACGCCAGTAGTCTAAAATACCTACTAACTCCCATAGCCACACATATCTAAGGAGATATTTGGTCGTACCAACAACTCCGCTCCATCTTTCTATATCCTCTGCGTATTCCTCGGTTGCTTCTAATCGCTCCAGGTATTTTTTCACTTGGCTCCACCACTTTTGCTTTGGCCTTCCTCTTGGTCGTTTTCCTTCAGGATTTGTCATTAATATTTGTTTCATATTATTATCCACCTCTCTTCTCAAAACATGCCCAGCCCATCTAAATTCACAAACCACATCTGAATCCTTGTGGAGTTCTCTCAATTCCCTATTATGTCTTCTTCTCCACTCTCCTTCTTCAAAAATTGGGCCATAAATCTTTCTTAGAATCTTATTTTCAAAAGTTATTAATTTCCTCTCTGTAATATTTCTAAATAAATATAGCCGCTGTGAAGCAGTGAAAACATTTCAAGTCTGCTGTGTGGAACAAGAATATTAGTTGGCAGAACTAGATGATTTGTGTAAAATGTTTGGTCAATAATGTTACACAGTTTCTTGTTATTCCTTTAATGTAGTCAAGTATTTTGCTTTTAGAAACCTCAATCTGGATCTGGAGACTGGAATGACGCACCTGAACAGACCAATGACTGGGGGGTGCAGGTGGAACAGAGCGAACAGAACCGCTGGAACGAACCAAGTCAGCAATCTGATGATTGGGCTGAAAACTCCAATGATGGTCAGTTGATTTATTTTCTGTTTAATGTTAATGAGCAATCTTTTTAGGCAAGGCAGGTGTTTACCTATTCAATTTCCTACAAGTTTTTTTTTGTTTTGCGGGTTTTTATGAAAATTTATTTAGGTACCGCAATATAAAAAGCTTCCCTTATTTAATTAATTACCTCTACGGCTACACTATCCTATCTCACACTCAAAGCACTTGTACTTGAAAGTGCATCAAAATTCCAATTCTATTTGATGCATCAAATCGCGATTTGATTCAGTGGTAGTAAACTATTCATGGGGGAATCAGTATCCATATACGAAAAAGGCCTTTAGAAAGTCAATGCAATACCCGCAATTCAGGAGTGCGTTGTTGTTGCGTTTCCTTTGCGAAGGCGTTATTTTAATTGATTCTCTGCATGTAAATATTGCTTTAGGCTAATTGTTTTCTTTTTTTTCTTTTGACATTTGCAAATGAAGTTTTGTTAAGTTTAAGCAGTGTGAGACATGTCTTACTACTGTAAACATAGCCAAAACAAGTCACTCCAAAATCATTCTAAAAATAACACAAGTCAGAAAAATAGTTACTTGATACTTGACTAGGAAGACTGATGTTTTAGGCTGATAATTTGGTATTTTTGTAGGTCCGAAGCTATATAGCTTTTTTTTGCTGTAGTAGAATTGGTACAGGACAAAAGCCTATATCCTGTCCTGATACAGACCAGACTGGTATTTCATCATGTAATTTGAGCTTAGTTTTAAGAATTGACAGATAATTGTTTCCTTTTTGTACAGTATTACTACTACATTTTTTAAGTTTTAATAATTTTAATAATTAGTTTTATCAAATATAACATTTTAGTATTAGTTTTATAAATATTGACAACTCCTATCTATGTACATTGTACTCCAAAAGATGTTATGAGTTAATACCGAATTTTAATTTTAATGTGGCCTTGTAGTTTGTAGGTTTGATTCTGTCATCTCATTTTTTCAATGTAAAGTGTAAACCAATTGAAAGTTTCAGTATAAATCTTACAATTGTTTTTATTTGTTTACACAATGTATTGCAGGTATTGCATTGACTTTCTGCAGGAGTTTTAAAATTTTTTTTACATTTTTTTATATAATCTTGTCTTGAAAAAATCTCGATCATAATAAAATATCTTCTTGTAGAACAAGATTTAAAATTTCCCAAAAATTTCTCAAAATTTCGAGACCCGTCCATCCCTACTTCGAATTGAGTTGCATCGGTTTGAACAAGAATCTTTTGAATGGGATCGTTGCTTTGAGTCAAAAATGTTTTGAGCTGCTTCACACACCCCTACTATTAACTTTATGGATTTATGTAGAACTATAGTAAAACACCTAAGTCAGATGAATACTTTTTAAAGTTACTTAGAGTAATTATCCTTCATTTAACTCATCTGTATCACTGTGTTTCACCTGTAATATATAACACTGGTAAGTAGCTGTCTTACTAGAGAGGTTATGATTATTGTATTAAACAAAATGGTCCTTAGATATTGGCTTGGAGAGTTAAGACCGTTGAATCCTGAAGTCACACTTGTGATGATAATAATATTGATGGATGAAATAAAACAGAGCAACACATTTGATTTATTTTGTTGTTATTCGGCTTATTTCTAGGTTTATTACTATTAGAATCTTGAATCTTAGGATAGCCTATATCCTTTAAAATTGGGCTGGGCTTGAAAACAAAATTGTCTGTTAATTATTTTAAATTTTGAATAGTTCTCCTAACTTAATACTACTGATAATGTTTATTGGTTGCAGGCTTCCAGACAGCTGGCCGTGGAGGTGGTAGAGGAGGCCGAGGGAGAGGTGGAGGCTCTGACAGAGGAAGGGGAGGTCCTAGAGGAGGGAGGGGAGGATATCAGAATGGCAGAGGCAACTATGGCAACAACCAAAACAGTCGAGGAGGTGGCGGTGGCTACTACAGGTATACAATCAAAATCAAGTGTATAGACCCCGATTCACATTCTCTGTGCGGTACAGAGAGCCCATTAACCACGTACACTATTTCGACAATTGCCTTCTAAAATATCAATACCCTTTAAACTTTCAAATTTTACTCATTATTGTACCACAGTGACAATTCAGTCATTGAATCCAAACACTAGTGCATTTTTATTTAAACAATGCTAATACTCCTTTTAGCGAATTTCCCTATAGGGAAGTAGCTATTACCGTAGGTCTCATGGTAAGACTTAGGCCCGGGACCGATTTACTTTTTCATTTCAATGTCCCCAGAGGCCAAAAACACCATTCGTTCAAATTTTTATATATGTATATATATATATATATATATATATAGATATATATATATGTGTCCGTGAACACGATAACTTGAGTAATTTTTATCCGATTTTGATGAAATATGGTTTGAAGGTGTAAGGCGGGATAAACTTGAATGAGTTCGCGATCCAGCATGATCGGACCATGGGAACAGGGTTTTATGGGGGGTTTTATGGGGTAAAAATAGGTTTTTCTCACTTTTTACCCTCAAAACACAAAATTTCCCAATTTTTCTCTAAACCTTCTTAAAGAGCTTAAAAAAACAAACAATTCAGTATATCAAAGTGTTTTTGTACGGTTATTGGTTACGGAGAAAACTAAAAATATTGTAAATTTAAAATTCCCATGTTATTCTTATGGAGAATATTGTAAAATGTTGTAGTTTGCTTGTTTATGGATATATTTTGATCAAACTTGGCAAATTTATTTATTTTATAGTAAGCTATCAATATTTTACTAAAAACACACTACTTTATTAGTTTCCTTGTAGAAGCAAACCTAGGTACTCGTTAAACCTAATGTTATTTAAATAGATCAATTGAAAATCAATTCGGCCAAATGGAAATTCGCTTAGACGGCAGGTTTGCTGCGGCGGGGGTATTTCTTTGTTTAAATGGAGAAAAGTGGTAATTCATTACGAAAATAACACGTGTCTCTGTTATTATTTATCCAATCTTGACAAATAAGGTATCATTGAAAACTACATAAAATTTACTAACTTTTTTGTCTCTTGCAATCTTTTTGTAAAGTTATCAGTTTTTGTGGAATTTGGCATCAAATATTTTAAACGACGGCCATTTTGAAACGGTTATGTTTTTTAGTATAATTTATAACATAATAGGTCTTAATAAGATAAAATTTTTTGCAAAATATCAATGCTGTTCTCAAACAGTTCAGGAGTTTTTTTTTTACACATAAATACAGACAGACAGAAAACTAGGCACCACAGACCCATGTTCCTATGGTGAAATGTGTTTGTCTTGACCTAAGGAATAACGCTATATACATATGTCCAGAGAGTTACGGGACACCCTGTATTCTTTTTGGTATCTTAACTGCCAAGAAAAATCCTTATTTTCGAGTTCCATTTAAGTTTATCTATGTTGCTAACACTCTATATTCTCTTAGAAACAACAACAGCGAAGGTGGTAACAACTACTACCAGAATGGATACCAGTCGCGCAATGATGGCGAGAGGGGAGACAGGGACAGAGGAGAGAGAGGAGACAGAGGAGAGAGGGGAGACAGAGGAGAGAGGGGAGAGAGAAGTTACAGAGGTGGTGGGGACAGGAGGGGAGGACCTCGTGGTGGACAACAAGACAGAGGCGGTTACAGAGGAGGTAGGTCACTGCGGTCATTGAGAGGTATTCCAGGGTGTCTACCAACCGGGAAATCCGGGAAAACCGGGAATTGTACTTAAATTTTTACTGGCCATGAAATGTACGGGAATTGTCCTTAAATGCCAGACAATGTCCTAAAATTTTTAATGGGCCATAATTTTATTGATCGCTAGTTGGTTAGGAGCACATAAAAGGTTTATCAGATGTTTGTTTACATTTTCATAAATTATTACTAGAGTAATTATGCAATAAAAATCCCATTAACAATCTCAAACCCATTAATATTTTATCACGACAATCAAGTGTCAAGTCAAGTACTTCCAAGAACTGTTGACTCAGCAGCTAGCTCATAAAAGTTGTATCACTTTTATTCCTTTACAACTTCTTTTTTTATTACTAGGGTAATTATTATTAGATCCCAAACATATTTTATCGTGAAAATAATAGCTTTATAATGGCTGTTAAATTTCACTTCTTACTTGTACTTTCGGCTTGAAGATTCAATTTGCCATGGCCAGTGCCTAGTGCCATAAAACTGTTTATGGTTTCATATTAAACATGTAAATAATCTACAGTCTTATTTTGTAAGTTAACCCCTTTTTTATGGACATTTTATCTTTCAATTGACAAAACCACAAGCATTGTTGTTTCGTTGTTTGCATTAATGTTTTATCACTATGTAGGCCTGCTTGGTTTCAAATTATGTCATTGCATTTTCTGTATCTTTGTCTTATATTGTTGGCTATTCAGGTTTCAATGTTTTTTGTTTCCCATATATTTATTTATTGAGTTGTATGCTTTAAGCAATCAAAATCTTATGAACTAGAATGATGATAGTAACTTTGCTGCTATTATAACCTCATTGTTTGTTACTTAGTTTATATAGGCCCTCCTAAATAATTAGGTTTAGGCCTGGGTATTTTGATATTCTTGAAAGAGCTGTAAAATATATTAAGAAAATGTAATTGAGCCTAAGATAAACAACTAATGATTGCTATGTGTGATATTAACTTTACAAATGAATACAATAATCTTACTCTGTGCTTATTGCTTATTAATAGCCGCTTACCATACCTTGATTTTGTACTAATAATTGAGTAACAATATGCATTAAAGATTTTTTTTCAAAAGTAGTCGAGAACCTAACGTTGTGCCAGGGCGAATCATGCCAAATTAATCCGCCTGGATCGGATAAGCTATTTTATAAGGTTTACGTGACGGATGGAGATATTTGTCGCTATCGCAGGAGACAATGATTGCGTTTCTCTGTTACACTACACTGTTACACTACTTTGTTGCACTGTTTCTTTGTTTACTTTCAATAAATTTCTATTTTGCAATTTTTAACTCTTATCTATTATTATTTACTTTTCTCTCTGGTATAACAAGATTAATACAGTTTGACAAATCAGGAAAATTATTCGGTAGGCCTAATGACACCGACAAAGGTTACGGCAAAGTGTCCTTAAATGTACGGGAATTGTCCATGAATTTTTTATCCAGAATGTAGTAGACACCCTGTATTCTCATTTGCCCTTGGGTTACATTAACTTTTGGATACTGGCGTAGACAACCGACCCTTATAGGCCAGCTATAGGCAATATTTTATTAAAACAGAACCTAACTTATCTGGGATGGGACTAGGGAGACCATAGATAGTGAAAACCATGGTAAATCCAAAATAGTATACAAATTTCAGTATTAATGATTGTAAAAAATACAATATTTCACAATCATTAATACTGTGCAATCATGATAACTTTTAGGAATGGATGGATCCAAACATTATGGAAAAATATATTTTCTATTCATCGGGATTGGACCAGTATGGAATTTGTTCCAGCGTTTTTTCAAGATTGATGAATGTTGATGTGTGTGACATCTCTGGGATCGCGGGAGATATTGCAATGGTAGGCAGGGTTGCCACCTTAGGTTTAGGAAAAATCGCGACATGGCCCCCATCCCCCCGGATTAACATAGGCTTAAATGCAAGTGCATAAGGAACCGAAATCGGGACTGTCCCAGCAGAATCGGGACGGGTGGCAACCCTGATGGTGGGGGACCATGATGATGAAAAGGAGATTAAGGGAAGGCAAATTTAGAGCAAGGAAAATCAGCTTACCATTTTTCCCTTGACCTAAGTTAGAGCTTGGGAAACAATTACTTTTTTTAATATCAGCTGTTATCGAAAATACTAAATAGCTATGTTCTGCATGGTGTGATGAAAAACCCTTTGCATTAAGAGTTTAGCAATTGGTTTTTGACTAACTAATCCATATTATTAATTTATTTATTTTACGTGTTTTTTGTATAAATGTTGCAGCTCCGAGGGGCAACCGAGGCGGCAACCCTCGCGGTGGCAACCGAGGCAACAACCGCCAATAACACACCAACCACGACCAAACTTTCTGTGATGTTACGTGGAATCAACTCTGCGAGTATTAAAGCAGAAGAAAAACAACACGTTTTACTTTTGCTAGGCAGGCTTTTTTCACAGGGATAAGATAACAAGACTTTAAACCTTTTTGTAAAGTGTTAAAAAAAATAAAAATACCAAAAAAATAGAAAAAAATGTGCAACCGCAAGAGACAAGTGTGTGGAAGTGACCCGAGATGTGTTGCCTCAGTATGTTCTTAGTTTCCACCGCGTCGTAAGTGACAAACCGACTCAAATATTCTCTTTACTGCAACTCGCATTTAAGATTGAAAGAAACTTGTAGTTAGGTGAACAGTTGAGTTGGTTTTGTAAGTTACTAATGTATATACATCATGTCGGACCCCAGACTTCGAGTTTGTTATTTTTATATGCCTAGAGACGTATCGTTATAGTTTCTAGGTTAACATTGCGACAATACCCACCCCATTTAGTGTGCTGGTTTATTGTTATTACAATGATTAAAGTAATATTTTTATAACACGTAGCTTCTGATAGCTTTTTGAGCAACAATTGTTCTTTCTTTAAATAAATGTTATCCCCTTTTTTGTACTTTTTGATAGTATGTTTGGCGATTTTGTATAGTTGAAATTCTTTTTGGAATAAGTTTACTTTGTAAACAATCGACTGCTTTCTTAGTTTGTATTCCCAGTTTTCTTACTATAGCTTATTGTATTTATGATCGGGTGAGTCTAGAGCGAATGAATGGCTTTTCCTAAAATGATAAGACTTTATATATTTCTCTTTGTTAGAAAATAGCAATATAATTGTCAATGACAAAAACAGTTTAAAGTTTTCACTTGTAATGTATTTTTTGTTGTGTCTTTGGTATTTTTTATATTTAAACAGCCAGCAATTTGGAATATTGATTTTGACGTAAAGTATAAACTTCTGTTTTGACGTATTCTCTCTGTGAGCTACATGAGGCACTTCTCTCATATGTTTATATATCAGTGATTTGCTGATGATTCCTAACTATAAATAAAGATAGTTTAAATAAATACTTTCAGTGTGGCTTCTTTAATCCTCCCAAGGACTATTATTGGTTTTATTAACCCTAGCAGCAGGCCAACGATCGATACACACGTTATACGTTATGTCTATAATGGCCACTATCGTAATGCGATTGTACGGGCCAAAATTTTTGTAACAGTAAAGAAACCACCAATAATCAACTCAGAAGTGAACGATTTTATGAAAACAGCTGTTTTCGGAATTTATAAAAAATGGCCAACCATCGCAATACCATAGTAGAGAAAATACGAATTATATACAGTGTAAGTTATTATTACTAGTCATATAATATGTAATTTTGAAGAGGAAGAAATAAAGCTTTTGAGAGTGACAGCCCTTTGCTCAAGGTTATTTCCGTTTGCTCTCAGGAAGATGACAAAAGTGCTTCACTCACTACTGTCAAGGTCTCATAAACAAAGTGCCTTGTATTCACCATCGCGTGTTGTTGTCGGTGAGTATTTTTTGCTCTCATGTTATCCACGATTAATTACTAAATTTTTTATTATTTCGTAGTGTTAGAGAAAAAATGTGTGTGTGTATATAACAGTAATCTTTATGCATTTTATTATGCATGAATATTACTGAATAGTGTGAAATAGTGTTTATAAAAGGTTGTATTTTTCTTACGGCTGTAATTTGCGGTTTTTCGTTTATTATATTATTATGCCCCTAACACGTACAAAAAAAAAAAAAAAAAAAAAAATATTACCCAACGTGTTATACATTTTTATTTTTTATGTAGGTAATTGAATACAATCAATAATGTCTCTTTGTGTATTTGGGTTTGACGTTTTTTAACACTAAATGAAATGGGGCCTTTAGTGTTAAACCCAAATAGCATGAATTTTGTAAGGAAAATTAGGTTTTTTGTTATTTACACAAAAACTAAAAGAGATACAAAGTAAGTGTAAATTACAAAGTTGTTAGGAATTTAAAAACCTAAAATGATGTACCACTTGACATATGTTGCTATTTGAAAAAGTTGAACAATGAGCATTTACAAATTTTCAAAAATGAACTTTTTTGGAATTTTTATTATTTCAAAAAACCTTTACTTGTAGCATATCAAAGTAAAGCTTATTTCATAACGAGTAAGAAAATTCAACCAGAGAAGGGCTAAATACATTGGTATGGGAAACACTGAGTATTAAAAAAATATTGATTTAAAAAAAACTGCCATTTTGAAACAAAAAAAGATAATTGATTTCTGTTTCTGATAAATGTTTGTCTATTAAATGCCTTTAAAATCATGACATATGTTTACATTTGAAAATTCTGAGATACAAACTAGTGACGGTTTAGTGAGTTTTTGGCACACCTTGTATTGAGAAAAAGTTAAAAATATTTTTACGTTACTCCCTGGGGTTGATTTAGTGGGAAATAATTTTATATCATCCTTGTACGTTAAGCTGTTTTTCCGTAATCAATCTGAGACACCTCTCATGGGACACCCTGTATATATAATACGTGAAGCCGTTTATTGATAACACAACTCCTCCCTTTATTTGTGGACCAATTTCAACATTTAAGGTGTCGAAAGATTCGTCTCAATATGTAGGTTTGCAATAAGGATTCAGAATTTTAAAACTCCTACCCTTAAGGATGTAAGACCCTCTCAAAGGTTGGGTTTGCCCCATAAGAAATACATGGAACAAATACCCCCGCCGTAGCAAACCTGCAGACTTAGCGAATTTCCATTTGCCTGATTGGATTTACTCTAAAATGTCTCCTTAAAACTATCACATTTATTCCCTATTTAAAAAGAATTAATTTAATGAGTACTTAGGTTTGCTGCAACAGGGAGGGTAAACGTTTTTTTAAATGTAAAATGTTAAAAGGTACTGTAGTTTAGTAAGAAATTAATGTATTTTCAAAATTTGATCAAAATAAGTTCATAAACAAGCAAACTACAACAGTAGACTTATTCTCCATAAGAATAACATGGGAATTTAAAATTAACATTTTTTTGAATTTTCTCCGTAACAATTAGGCGCATAACAACGCTTCAATATACTAAATTATTTGTTTTTTTAAGCTCTACAAAATGGTTTAGAAAGAAATTGTGAAATGTTGCGTTTTTAGGGTCAAAAATGGGGAAAACCTAATTTTACCCCATAAAACCCCCCATAAACCCCCGTTAACATAGTCCGATCATGCTGGTTCGCGAACACATTCAAGTTTATCCCGCCTTACACCTTCAAACCAAATTTTATCAAAATAGGACAAAAATTACTCAAGTTATCGTGCGGATGGACACATATATATATATATCTCTATATATAGATATATAAAAATTTGAACGAATGGTGTTTTTGGCCTCTGGGGACATCAAAATGAAAAAGTAAATCGGTCCCGGGCCTAGGTCTTACCATGAGACCTACAGTAATAGCTACTTCCCTATAGGGAAATTCGCTAATAAAAAAAAACAAAAAAAACAGCCGTTTATAAAAAGAAACTCAATAGCTTTTGGGGAGTAAATATTAATGTTTGTAATATTCAGTAGGTTAAGACCAAGTTAAACAGTAATCAGTTTTGTTGGAAGAACAGTAAATGCCCCGAGTTCAAAGAAGAAATACTATTGAAAACGGGAGGAGGAGGCAAAATAATAATCAAATATTTTATGCGTATGAGGAGAGTAGAAAAAGGGAGGCCTGGTCCAACAGATACCTATCCAGATACACATTGAATTGGTGAGATGAATAATATTTCTCACTGACAGATCGAGATATTTAAAAACATTAGTAGAAACTATAATAAAGCCTTTGGCTATGATAAGTTCAAGTAGTAAGATTATACCAAAACTTGGCGGACCTTATAGAAAAATGGATTGTTTACTTCTAGGTTATGTTGCCAGTTCCTCGGACAAACTTATACAAAGTTTTTTTACTGAATTCACCAACACAATCCAGACATTTCAAGTCAAAAATAAGAAGTTTCAAAAACTCATTTGCTATTGAAAGTGTTAGTGGCAATATTAGACCAAACATAAGTAAAGGAATTAGTGTTTATGTGTTCCAACGATCAAATTGTTACGGTAAAATTTATTTTTATGAAGAATTACTCAAATTTAAGCATAACGTTTTCCTTGACGTTATGTTTCATACTATGCGGCTCATTGAGCCGCACGGGTTCTCTAGTATACTTAAATTATTTTTTTTTTTACAGGTTTTTTAATTTGTTATTATATTACGCCCAAAAAACTTACAAAGAAAAAATATTTTCCTAACATGTTATAATTATATTTTTACATATGTTAGAAAAACATATTACCATTTTCTGAAGTCAGATAGGCTTCAGAAAACAAAAGTCCACTACAGATCAAATATTTATTAGCAAATTTTATCAAAATATTGGGAGTTTAACCGAGATGCCCACTTACTAATTATTGATTTTAAAAAGGCATACAATAGTATATATAGAAAACAAAATGTGGAAATACCTTATGAAAATGGGAATCCCAAACAAATTAGTTAAGCTAGCACAAATATGTACAGAAGACTCAAGATGCAAAGTACAAATAAACAACGAATATTCAACTGAATTCAATGTAGTCACCGGAGTACGACAAGGAGACATACTCTCTCCGTTGTTAGTCAATGTAGCTTTAGAAAGTGCTCTTAAAAGAGTGAAACAACAACAACCTGGTGTAGAAATTGGAAAAAGGTAAACATTCTACCTTTTGCAGATGATATGACTATTAGCAGAGGATGAAAACTGTCAAAAAACCCTCACAGAGGCTCTAATTAAAGAAAATAGAGCAATAGGCTTAGAAATCAGCGAAGAAAAGACAAAATACCTAATATAGTTGGAAGATTTTGACGTGGAACGTTCCTTGCAAGTTGGAGACTATAAGTTCAATAGGACTGCAGAGTTTAAGTACTTAGGAGTGACCATAGACCAAGAAAATAAAGATGAAGTAGAGATAAACGCCAGATTATAACTGGGGAATAAATGCTTTTGGACCCTTAAATCACTGCTAAAAAGTTGACTTTTGTTATGGAGCACCAAAGAAAAACTCTATAAAACTATAATACAGCCAATAGCACTCTATGGATCTGAAACCTGGACATTGACGAAGAACAACGAAAAGAAAATAATTGTTTTTGAAAACAAAATACTAAGAACTATCTACGATTCCATCAACGAAAATGGGGTGTGGAGGATCAGAACAAACAAAGAATTGAGGGAAATCTATACAGACCCAGACATAATAGCACAAATAAAAAGCAGGAGACTGAGATGAGCAGGTCATGTGAAGAGAAGAGAATATTTTACGCTAAGAATGGTGTCTGAAAATCTCCCTCGGAGAAGACGACCACTAGGACGACCTCGACTAAGATGGCATTACCAGGTGCAAAGAGACATAGGGAAACTAAGAGCAGAGACAGGATGGATGGAAGACAGAGAGAGGTGGCGACTTGTTGGTGAGGCCAAAAACCTACTGAGGTTTGAGTTGCAACATAGGTAAGGTACGCAAGGTTATATATTTTTATGTAGGGAATTAGATTCAGATTGTCTACTAAATGTATATAACGAATTTCCCATGAAAAATCTGTAAAAAAATTTTACTTTTGAAATTTAAAAAAGAAAATTCTTAAGTTTTTTATTCTTTTCACTTTAAAGAAAAAAAAACTTCTAAATCATTATTATATTACTATTTGTAGAATCTCCTGTTCTTTCCGAACAAAAGGAATATGAGGTTGGCTAGGTTCAATTCTACGGTTGAATTAGTACGAATTTTCAAAAAAAGGTCTCTAAAATTGCCAAAATGGGTTGGCCATTCCACACTTCTTACATTGGCCACTGCTAGGGTTAGACAATAAGTTGAGTCTAATTACAACCTACTCTTGTTTAAGTTAATATTGTCTTGCTTAAGAGTAAAATCATGATTGCTCGTGAGTAGGCTACGAGTTTAAGATAAGTTATCCATTTAATTGCTTATATTTCAGAGGCTCTGGAGTGATTTTGTGACGCCCAGCCTTTTGGAAT